AAAAAAGTAATATTTGGTGGGAGGAGAAAGTGAGGAGAGGCTACTAATATGGCAGTCAACCCCTCTGGTTTCCCTTTTTTCAAATTTTCGTTTGTTTTTTTAATATATCTTAATTAAAGAAAATCAATTAATCTTAATGAAATGCAATTGGGCTTTAAAAAATGGGGTTGGATTTCATCATTAAACTTTAGGCTTTTTGGACCTTGGATTATATAATTTGGCATTGGGTTACAAAATGGCTCATCATTGTAAGGAATTGATCCAAAACAAAATCTTTTTGGGCCTAACATCAAATATGTTCAATAAGCATTTAAATAAGCCTAAATTTAGATATCTAAATCAAATATAAAAATGGATCAAAATTGAACTGTCCTAAATAAAATTAGGTGTTTATAATATTCAAGATATATGTAAAATATATATAATATAATTAAGATATCAAAATATCACGAAATTAAAATTTTTTATTAAAAATTTTAAGAAAGTTTAAAAAATGAAATATTATTTGAAAAAAATAAAATATCCAAAAGATATTATAAATAATAATATCAAGTACACCAACAAAATATTAAAATAAAAGCTAAAAGTTTCATTATTTCAAATTAACTTTCTTCCATTTACATCATTTTTTTCTTGTGTAGTCAATTTTAAATACCTACAAATTTATATAATTTTAAGCTTAATTTTATTTATTTTAGAGAAAAAATAAATTTAAATGTTTAAATAATGTACTTAAAGTGTACTTTATTTCATAGCCTATAATAATAATAATATTTTGCAGCAAGTGTGATGTTTCCTTTATTTTGCAAATGAGAAATGTGCTTATAGTTGTAATAGTCTATACAGTTCACCAACATAAATAAGAAATCAAGCCAGCTATAATTGAAAATTTTAATAATTAAGACCAAATTCTTCTATATTAAAAAAAGCCAAGTTTTTCGAGAATTATCGACATAACAAAAACTAATAAATCTTAGAAAATAAACAATAGCATGTAATATCATATGTGTAATCATTCATTTTTAAGATCAAATCACTAATGTCTATTTCCAAAGAATATAGCTAAATGTTAATCTAGATGTTTGTCGATAAAAGGTCTCATGCAAAGTACTTTACATATGCATCTATTCTCTATTTGCACCCATACCTGAAAACTAAGAGTTCTATATATTTTGAAAGAGAAAAATGCGAGTAAGCATTAAAACATAGTAATAAAACATCTATCGACCAATCATTATTTGTATGAGATTGATGCATGTAAAACCGGTGGTATAGTATCATTACACATGCTACCACCACTTGAGACTTGTAATTAAAATTTTTAATCACCATTTCCAGTAGTATTATGAAATATAAAACCTATTTTAGAAATTAAAGTGATTACAGAAAAAGCAAATTCAATGTAGATATTTGTAAGTTATAAAATAACATGTCATCAACACTTATAAAAGAGAAGAATAAATGCTTTTGTAAATTGTAACTTTATACTTTGCAAAATATGAAGAAGCAATCATAAAGGCAAAGAAAAAAAATAGAGAAATATAATTGGCCTTCAGAATTTCTTTAAGTTATTTGTTCTAATATGTGATATTTGGTTTTTTAAATTTAAAAATAATCAAATAACTGAGGATTATTATGAAATCTCTAAAGAAAAAAAATTGCATTTAAGAATTTGAAATTTAAAAGATATATATTTAAATTATCAAGAAATCCATTTTAAGGATAATATATATTACTACATTTTATTTTTTTTAATTTAAAATGATATATAAATAATCTAGACTATTAATAAATCCATTTTAAAAATAATATATTTTACATTTGAGATTTATTCTTCGCTTTAAAAAGATTTTTTTGGGTGTTTTAAGTTTTGAGTTTTTTTATTCTTATAATGTTTCTTGTCTTTATTTCTTTAAAAATTTTGTCATTTGGGTGGACATATGTAATCAAATTAATCTACAAATAATCTAATATATATTACTATATTTTGGATTTTTAGATTCAAAAGGATAGATATATATATATATATATATATATATATATACATATATATTATTAGGAAATCTATTTTAAAATATCATATATTATTACATTTGAAAATTTTAAATTTTAAACAATATTGTCTAGATTATTAAGAAATTCATTTAAAATTAAAAATAATATATTTAAATTAGATTTTATTGATAACAATAGTTAATTATTATTATTATTTACAAATTTTGTTGGTAACAATATATTTAAATTAAAATATAAAAAGATAATTATATATTTAAAAAATTATATATTTAAAAAGATAAAAAGACAAAAATATGTAATTATTATTATTATTATTATCTTATATGTCATTCGAAGCAACTGTTCACCTAAACATCTATGGAAGTAAATCTTATAAGGTTTCTTATATGTTATAATATAATATTATATATCATATGATATATGATATATGATTTAATTCTAACTTTGAGGTGGGTTCAACCTTGGTAATTCTTAGTCAATCGTCAAAATCAAAGGGAATTTCTTTTATAAAAAAATGTTTTAGACTGATGAATTTATCCTGTTTTGACTAGTAACTTTTTAGTAAGTTAATATCTTACATTAACATATTAAATAATAGTTTTATTAGTATATAATTAAATAAATAATAAATTATATATTTTATACTAGCTTTAGGCGAGTAGAGGCAGAGCATTCTAAATCTGTCTCCGTTTCCAACTCCAATTAAAAAAAATCCACTCTTATCAAATTGTAACAGATCAAAATTTGTTGAATATGGCTTGTTTTATCAACTCAAATTGTATAGTCTTAAAATTTTTATACTGCAAAAAAATGATGTGTATTTAATATTTTCTAGTTAATAATTTATTGGATTGATATCAATAAATGAAAAAAAAAAAAAAACTTGCAAACTATATCTCCTAATGGATTTTTTTATTAAAAACCTAAATACAACTATATAATTAGTTTATATCTATGAAGAAGAATTCACTTACATTATTATAAGTGTTACGTACGTTATTTTAATCCTTATATTATATATTTTAATATATTTAATTTTGATCGAAAGATAAAAGAAAATATAAAACTTATATCTACTCTCTATCAAAACAGAAAAATTCATTTGTGTTTCCTTTCCTATTTTCCCCTCTTTTAAAATGGTTGTGAATCTTGTATAATAGAGTAAAATAATAGCCTATCCCTTTTATCTTTGAAAAAAAATATAAATTTCATGGTCCAGCATGTGCCCTTTTTCTGGTAATGTAGATTTTTTTTTTGTATGAGTGTTCAATAATATTAGAATATTTATGGTATGATGAAATGGAGATTTGTCAAAATAAGCTTTTTTTTTTTTCCTTCTTTAAAGTCTCATAGGAAAGAGGTAATTTACCTTATTTTCTCAATCAATATAAAAGATATACATACTAATTACTTTTGTTAGAATGTGACCTATTTATAAATTTAAAAAATGGCTTATTCTAAATTCTAATTCTAAACCCCTTGAATTCAATTAACAAAACACTTATAAGACCAACAACAAAATAAAGTTTCAAAAAAATTGAGAAAAAATAATATAGAAAGATAATTAAAGAATTCATTTTTATACATCGACACTAAAATCTTTTAATTCCACAAAAGAAGTTACCATATTTTTCATATTTTTTTATTTTTAATTTTTTATTATATCTTAAAATAAACTTGATAATTTTAAACACGACACAATGACATGATACAAAAATGACACAGAAAAAATCGTGCATGAGTTTAGTGTAACTATGTTGCGTATCTTAATCGTATTGATAGATTAAGACACAATATTATTCTGTTGTATTTGTATCAAACAGTGATGACACGCTTAAGATACGTACTATTCACGCAAGTATATATAAAATACAAATTATAAAAATTATTTTAATTTAATTCTTAAAAAATTAATAATCGTATTTATTGTATTGTTTTGGTGTTTAAATAGATTATAAATATTTAATTTTTAAATAATTTTTTATTTAAATACTATTTTAAATGATATTTTTTATTTAAATTAATAGACTAATCATGTCTATTTGTGTTAGTGTCTAAACGTGTTAATTGTGTCATGTCATGTCACTTGAGTTATGTTAAATAAATTAATTTTAAATATATAATTGTGTTATGTCATGTGTAACATATATAATAAATATATTGTATTTGTGTTTAGATTATTCATGTTATTTAAATATTCGTATCGTATTCGTATCAAAATTATTTTTATTATATTTGAAATCATATTTGACACGAAATATGACACAATGACACAAATTGACAAATTTACCTTAAAAGTTAATATTTATTGTAATGTTTAAAAACTTTACTGTTAATGGATGTGATAAGTTTTTGTAAATATATTCATTTAACCAAAACTCACTCTAAGAGAATAGATTTTTGGCGGCATTTTTTTCACGTTTAGTGGCATTTATAAATACTGCCAAATGATTCGCGACATTTGCAGAAAACGTCAAAGAAAATAATGGCTTTTTAGAAAAAAAATACCACTAATTTAGCAGTATTTTCAAACATAAACATCGTTAAATTTAACGACATTTGTTATTATAAACGATATTAAATAAAAAAATTTAGTGACATTTGTGTCACAAAACGCCACTAAATTTAGTAGTATTTTTTTAACACAAATGGCGTTTTTTGACACAAGTGTCACTAAATGAAAAAATTTAACAGTATTTTTTAAAACAAACGTTATTAAATTTAACAGCATTTTTCATTGCAAACACCACTAAATTAGAAAATTTATTTTTTTCTTTCAATATTCACTATTAACTATTATAATTAAATTAAAAAATAAATAAATATTTTTAAATTCTTAAAAACGAATTTAAATTCATAAACTAAATATTTAAATATCTAAATACATAATTTGTTATTGTGTACATGTAACACAAAGTTTAATACAATGACATTCAAATTGTTTCAATACATTAACCAAAAATTTAAAATGTATAAACTTGATGATTGTTTAGACTTGAAACACAGCCATATTTTTTCAACCATGATTACTTACGTGCTCAAAAACCTACTGAATAAAATAAAACAAGTCTTTACACTTCATAATAAACCATTTTTTATATTAAAAAAATATAAATACTTACTAAATGCAAAATACAACTAAACTTGCAAAACTGAAAATACAAAGCTATTATAGACAAATAGTGATTTCATGAACTAGAACTAAATCTAAATGGCAAAAAGTACATGAAATCAAACTTAAAATTGCAAAGACAAGTGAAGAACTAAAGCAAGAATAAGTTTGAACTTCAAATGTGAAGCAAAAAAATGCAAAAACTCTAAGCGCAAGTTGAAACAAAAGAAAATCTAGAAATTGAATTTGAAGTTACTAATCTAGGTCTAAATGATGCAAAATTAATGGAGTATGAGCTGGAAATTAAAAGAGCATATAAAGAACTACAATGGAAAGTAGTTTGAAAATCAGAAACTAAAGAGAAATCGCAAGAAAGTACTAAAACAAATCAAAATAAAAACTAAGTTGCATCAGAATTTTACTAATAAGGAAAGAAAAAGCCAGATCTAGAAACTTCTAAGGAGAATGAATTAGAACTGAGCTAAGGTAAGATTTATAAACAAGTTTATCACAAAATTCAACAAAGAAATCGCATCAAATAAGAAAAAATCTAGCTCATTGAACTAACAACTCAAACAGTACACAGAACTGGAAAAAATAGAGCATGTTCAAAGAAATCATCCAAATAGCAGGTAAATTCATGAAAATAAATGCTATCAATTGAAAACTAACAAGTAAACATGTAAATCTAAGAGCATGAAGTGAAAAAGAAGCAAACCAAATGCCAAGAAAGAGAGTAGATCCTTGCTATGCTGTCACTCATGCAAAGAACTAATCTATCAACTGAATTTAGGCCTGACTTTAGAGAATTTTCTGTACTTGTGTGGATGGAATTTGAAGCTAATTGTTTTTTTTTCAGAATTAAAGATCTATGAGTTAGGAATTTAACAAAAAAAATGGGCTCAAAACAAGCTAGAATTCATCAAGAACTGATTGAAAAACTATGAAGAGGTCAAAATCGTGAATTTCAAAATAGATTTGAAGAATACATAAATTCAATTGAAAATGAATGCAAAAACGTGAGAATCTCAGCCAAGTGGACCTTTTCTACCCAACGTTGCTATCATTTGTTGAAGACTTGGGTGAAGAGGCAAGCCTATTCTTTCACACAACAAGTCGGAACTATGTTAGAAAAAGAAAACTTGATCTTAATTTCAAGAAGAACCAAATGTGACCTATTCAAATATCTATTTACAATTTAGAGCATGTGCAATTATATTCCATCATAAATCCACTTGCTTGAGAAGTCCACCAATAAGTTAGAAACTGCAGCAATGCAAAAAGGGACCAAACCAAACACCAGACCAGATTATCAATCAACTAGTCAGCTACAGCGGCAAGACCAAATTATCAGGAACAAGCACTGTACACAACATAGGAATTTCAACTAGAATTCTCTTAAGTAAGTTTAACTTAATAGTAATTATAGATTAAAAAGCAAATAGTTTTTCGACTGACCTGCAAGGTAAAGAACTTGGCATTTAGGCTCATTGTCAACTGCAAGATGTGCACAACTTGAAACCACATATCTGGATTATTTTGCAGATCTCGTTAGGTCTTATCTGCATATGCTCTCTGTGAAGTGATGTATAATTAAGGGAAAAAATTGTCAAAAACAAATAACTAGAAGAGCAAGCCAAAATATAATCATAGCCCAATGAGGCATTTGATATATGAAAAAAACAAAAAGACTCTTCAAACGCCAGGATGAGGAATCTTGAAGTTAATCTTGATAGATAATATAAGATGTTGAGCATTACTATAAAGATAATGAAGTAAATTATCATCATCAATTTTGTGACCAAGAGATGATAGTAATAAATAATAATCTCATATCATCTAAGATCAGAAAAAATGGGAACATAAATGCTAGGAAAAAAGAGCAACATAGCATGTGACAATTAAATACATGGTGTGGCTGACATCCACTTACGAATGAGGATTTGCCGATTCGTGAATGACAAAGGCAAGCGAAACACCTACCTGAAGTATCAAAATAAAATAAAAATTATACCTCTTAATTAATTATATCTAAATTTCTTACCCCAAAAAAGACACCAATCTCAATTCCAAGAAATAGAGTTGTAGTACCTGTGATGGTCCAAAGAAGAAAATCTTTCTTATTACAACCAAAGATCTTTATAGGATACCAATATCTTTTTATTCTGGTAGATTTGATAAGAGTTGCAAACAGTAAATTAATGATCCAACTTCCATTGAAGCATAAAATGTGGCATAATCTAGTTTTAAAAATGTTCCAACACAGGCTTGTCTCTTACTTACCAGACTTATAACAGCAGAGATTACTATAGTAACCAGAGCACACTGCAAAAGTGATGAAGTGTAAACACCCATAGTTAGCATTCATAATAATATCTCTTCCAGATACTTGGGATAATACTAAAATCAAATTGGAAAAAACTTGAAAGACTTTCCTAACTTAAAAGCAGTCATAATAACCATTATCGGTAGAGCTAATCGAAACACCATGTCTAGAGATTTGTATTTCACAAAAATTTCTAGGGAATGCAAATTGAATCGTATTTCAAGTACCAAATCAGCATAAGTCTTATAAAATTCACAGATTCATAGAAGCGTTAATTGAACGAAAAGAAGCGAAGAAAGCACACAAAAAAAAAAGCTCACCCTTCCGCTTTGACATTTCCAAGGAAACCATGGTGCTGATTTTTCAGATGTTTGTTACGTTCAAAGAGCAAAACAAAGAAAAAATTGAATCAAGCTCAAATTTCAAATGATAAAATCATTTGAGAATCTACAAAAGAGAAAACAGAATCTAACCATTAAGTACAGGTCTAAAACAGTAGAGCATCTCCATCAAAAGAAAAAAAAATCTGAAACTTTCGTTTTGTTTACCAAAAGAAAAAAATGGAGCTATGAGTTTTATTATTACGAGTTTCCTATGTTTCTCGATAATCAAACAGAGACAAAAAAAGTGAGAGTGATGGATGCACCGGGAAATTGCAGGTGAGCGTCAGAAGTAGTTGGTGGCGGTGGTGGGGACAAGTAGATGTTTTTCAAAAAATCATCCATGCTAATGGAACCAAGGCCATTCTGAGATTGGTTTTGATTATTTTGAAGGTTTTGAAGATCGGCGAGGAGAGTGGAGAGCGAAGAGCATAGAGCTGGCTGACGTGGAAGATTGGGATTCATCTGGTTTCAATTTTGGGGGAAAACTTTTAGCGGGAGAACTTCCTGTGAGAGGAAAGGAAAATGCAAAAAGAAATAGGGAGTTTCAGTTTTGGGAAAAAAATTTAGTGGCGTTTACTTTAAAAACGCCACTAATTTCTTCACACTAGTGGCATTTCCTTAAAATGTCACTATTTGTTTTTCAATAGCGTCGTCTATTTCCTAAAACGCCACTAAAAGATTTCTATTTATATTTAATTAATTTTTGGATTTTATTTTAAGGTGTTTTAGTGATTAAATGCCACTAATTTGTTTATTTAATGGTGTTTAATAGTACAAATGCTACTATGGAATATTTAATAACTTT